GGAAGCAAACTGCCTCATCTTTCTCCCGTGGAGTGGCTGGTGGGTTCGAACTGCCAACCTTTTGGTTAGCAGCCCAGGGCCTTAACCACAGTATCACCAGAGTTCCTTAATAAGATGCTATAGGACAAAATAAAGATAAATTCCACTTACTATCAACAACGGGAATGTTGATCTACTGTATCTGGATTCTTGCCTTTTCTGATTATTTTCCGTCATAACAATCTTATACTAATTGTTACATTTATCTATAATATGTAACCTTTAGTGCTTCTATTACCAGGCACTCAGGTCACTAGTAGGCATTTCAGACTTCGCGTGGGCAGAATCTAACGCTTCATTTTCCTCTCCCTGCTTTTTCAGCATCTCTGCGTATGGTACCTCCAATCTTGTTGCCCAGGCCCAAAACCTTGGACTTGTCCTTCCTCTCTCCCCGTCCCATGTGTAATCCATTGGCAAATCCTGTTGGCTGCCTTTGAAATAGGAGCCTGGTGGCACAGTGGTTAAAGTGCTCAGCTGCCAAGCAAAAGTTGGGAGGTTTGAAGCCACCACAGGAGAGAAGGCTCCATGGGAGAGAAGAGCTGGCGACCAGTTCCCGTAAAGATTGTAGCCGAGGAGACCCTCCGGGGCGACTTTGCTCTGACACGTGGGGTCGCCGTGAATTGGACCTGACTGGACGACACCCAACCGCCTCTGAAGTATCCCTAGGAAGGCTGCTGATCAGGCCTCCTCCTGCTTCCACTGCGCCCGTCCACTGGCGTCTCTGGCCTCGGGTCGTCACAGTAGCTTTCTCACCGAGCCCTGTGCTGCTGTCCTTGCTCTTGAACTGTAGCCTGAAGAGCTATTGAAAAATATAAACCAGGTTATGCTGCTCTCCTGCCTCAAACCCTCCAGTTCTCTCCCACTTTGTTGAAAAACAAAACAAACAAAGCTAAAGTTCTTATGTCGTCCTTCAAGATCCCGCGGGATCTGGCCTTCGTTAGCTCTCTGGCCCCGTCGCCTGCCCCTGTCGCCCTTGCCCCCTCTGCTGCGGCCACGCTGGCCTCTTGCGTGTTGAATATGCTAGAAGGGGCCCCAGCCCTGTGCCCTGGATCCTGTAGCTCTCTTTTATGGTAGCGCATTGCTGCCTCCCTTGGTCCTGATCAGATGTTACCTTCTCACAAAGCCCTCCTCAGTGCCCGTATATAAATGGGGTCTACCACCCTCCCCTCTTCACAGCGTTTATCACCATCTGACAGTTTCTTATTTTGCTTGTTTTGTCTTCATTTTCTGTGTCCTCCTAGAAGAGACTTCGTGAGGAAGGGCCTTTGTCTTAACTGCTCTGTCCCCGGTGCCTCGACGCCTGGCCTATGAGAGGGGCTCAGTAAATAGTTGCTGAATGAATGAATTTAGTAAGCCTTTTACTTATGGTGGAAATACGTACAACAAAACATATACCTGTTGAGCAGTTTTTACAGGCACAGCTCATTGACAGTGGTTACAATCTTCACCCTAGTCCTGAAGGAGACATCTTTGCTCTTCAGCACTTGAAAGAGGTCTTTTGCAGCCGACTTGCCCAGTGCTATATGTTGTCTGATGTCCTAACTGCTGTTTCCATTGGCATCGATTATGGAACCAAGCAATGTGAATTCTTTGACGACCTCAATCTTTTCTCCATTTATTGTGATGCTGGTTACAGGTCCAATTGTCAGGATTTTTGTTTTCTTTATGTTGAGGTGTAATCCCTACTGCAGACTGTATTGTTCAGTCTTCATTAGTAAGTGCTTCAAGTCATACTTACTTTCAGCAAGCAAAGTTGTGTTGTCAGCGTATCGCAGGTTGTTAACGATTCTCCCTCCAATCCTGATGCCACGTTCTTCTTCAACAGCAGCACCAACAGTCTTCACATTGGCACCCTTCTGTCTCTGCCCCTGTAGTTTCACCATCGTTAACTGGCACTCTGCCCTGAGAGTTCTCACTTGGGCTTTAGAGGGACCGGTCAGCCTCTTTCTTTAACTGTCTGTTCTGAAACGACCCTGTGAGGTAAGTGCTCTTGGCTCCGTTTGGCAGCTGAGGACTGCAAGGCTGAGAGAGAGGAACAGACTCGCCTAGGTCCCAGAGCCTGTAAGCTCCAGGGCCCAGACATGCCTCAGGTCTGCCTACTCGGGCTTATGGCCAGAACATTGCAGCTTTCCACATAGTTTTCCCCTTCATGTTATCTTTGAAAGCACATTATGCTACAGTTATTTGTTTATTGTATTTTGTGTGTTGTTGAAAGTACAGCAAACATGAGACCAAGTCACCTGTGTCTCCATGGACAATTCAGTGACACCGACGACATTCTCTCGGTTGTGCGGCCGTGCTCAGCCTACTTTTCTGAGTTGTTCCTCTTCCATTATCATAAACCGGCTTAGCTCCCTAGCTCATCTTTGGAGGTGCTGTGGTCAGTGTGATCCCATACAGATAGTCCTTAAAAGAGCATAATGCCCAGGACAGATTTCCACCCCCTAAAATCAGTTAAGCCGAACCGTTGTTTAGTTTTAAGATGACTTCAAGGGACATTTTGAGTGTAAGATTTAACGATTGTCTCAGGGCATGTTTTAGGGCTCCAGAAATTCCAGAGTCCTCTCTGTCCCCCTGCCTCCGATGACTTTTCCTACTCTGGCTTCTTCTCCCTGTATATGTTGTGGTGGGGTGCTGTTGAGTTGATTCTAACCTAGAGTGACCCTGTGTGACAGAGTAGAACTGCCCCATAGGGTTGCCTTGGCTCCCATCTTTATGGAAGCAAATTGCCACATCTTTGTCCTGTGGAACCTCTGGTGGATTTGAACTGCCAACCTTTCATTTAGCAACCAGCTGCTTAACCATTTGCACCATTGGAGCAGCTTTATATGTGCGTAAATACATGTTTTGTGTCATTCCCCAAAACAGTGACACACACCTGCATGACCACAGTACATGCATCAACATCAGGAAACTTACACTGTGACGGTACTACTATCTCTGTGTGTTTCAATAATGTCCTTTATAGCAAAGGACTAAACAAACAGGAAACTCTTCCTCTTTCCTCCTTTCCTTCTGGCCCGTGATATAACCCAGGACCATGTATTGTCTGATGAATTTTTCTTATGACTGGCCTTTAGTCTGGACAGTTCTTCAGCTCCCCGTCTCCTGCCCCTTTTCATGGTTTTGAATTTGTAAAGAGTACGGGCCACTTACTTTGTAGGATGGCACTCAATTGGATCTAAATCATTAGATTTAGGTAATGCATTTTTGGCCAGATTGTCATAGAAATGACCCCCTTCTCAGTGCATCATAATCAGGTGGCACAAGATGTCCATTTAACCCTTCACTGGCTATTTGAACTTTCTATCTCTTGGATAAGATGATGTCTGTCAGATTTCTCCAACGAAAAGTTCAATAGTCAGTATTTTTTTTTACTTTTTAACAAGTAATTAGTAAGCATTTTGTGGGGAGATGCTTTGAGTCTCTAATATCCTGTCCCCCCCGAACTCTGGCCTGCTGGTTTTCCTCCCCCTCCATGACTCTCTCCTGACAGTTACGATGAGAGTTGCAAGTAGCGATTTTCTAACTTCATCATTCCTTCTCTGTTTCATTATTTGTGATCCTATAGCAAGGGGTTTTACCCTTATGTATTTTTAAACTAGTTTTTAAAGAATTCGAGTCTGTGTGGACTCTTCTTTTTCTGTTTTATTTAACAGCTTATAATTTGTTAGTCATTGTTTGTTTTGAGGTTCACATCATGCCCAGTGGAAACCCTGGAGGCTGGCTCCTGTACCCTTTTGACACTTCCTCATTATTATTGAAACTCTTTGTTACTCTGGCGCCGTACGATGGCCCAAGCTCATCTTTTCCTGAGCCAGCCTTGCAATCAGCCATTTCTTCTAGGAGCTCAGGTTCCATTAGTGGAGAATTGTAGTTAGAAGCCAAGGTAGGGGTGTTGGGAGTGCTGAGTGCTTTTGGGGTGTCGTTACTTCCAGGCCCTTTTGTAAGAGAGAGGTAGGAAATGTATGTATGTGTGTGTGTCTACACACATATGTATAATGATGCATATACATGTACATACATATACGAATACATATTTACGTACATAGATGAATTTTTTTTTTTTTTTTTTTATCTATCTACACAAGTGTATTAAAAACTAGCGTTCCTATTGTTACCTCCAGTTCCAACCTAGCATCACAGGGTTTGTTCTGGCTTTCCATATGTACTTTTCCAGTGTGAGAAACCGGGCCCCCATAATCCTCAGTATATTTGCTTTTATAAGTTATGGAATTACTTACTTATTTCCTCAGTCTCACTCCATGTCCTCAGTCTCTTGATTGTGGGGACTGTCTCTTTGGGGCTGGCACCACCAAGTGCACTGGCTTAATGCCCCCAGCACCAGGCCCACCAACCATGTCTCAGGTCCCACCTACTGTGTTGGCAGAATCCCAGGCCTCTACCAAAGAGAGAGTGGGAGGGGCTGGCAGCCAAGAAGAAGAGCGAGAAAGCTTCAGGAGGGTCTGGATTTGTATTTAATCAGCTGCTTATACGGCATGTTAGCTGTGATGGCTTGGAAAGTAATGCTGACTATGTCCTCTGGTTTTCATTCCTCTTTCTTTCTCTGTTTTTCAAGATGGTTTCACCCAAATATCACAGGAGTGGAGGCAGAAAACCTACTGTTGACAAGAGGAGTTGATGGCAGTTTTTTGGCAAGGCCCAGTAAAAGTAACCCTGGAGACTTCACACTTTCCGTTAGGTAAGTTGGGAGTAAAAGAGAACCTCGAGGGTGTGTGCCAGGTAGGACGTGGTAACAGCACATGTGCACAGCTGGCCGCCGTCACATCTGGTTTGCAGGCCTGTCACCTACCCGCACTGGCCTCAGATCAGATGTGAGTCATCCTGCTGTTGGGTTATGGTGAGTGGCCTCCTGAGGGTGAGTAGCCTGCGAGGGAACTCAGCAGAAGGGGCAGAATGGTGGATGGAGGGGCATTTTCTTTCCTGTAGACACCATGGAGGATGGACTGGAGTGGTCTACATGCATTCTTTCTTTTTCTTTTTCTTTTTTTAAATATTGTGTTTTTTGGTAAAGATCTGTGCAGCAGTTTAGTTTCACATTCAACGATTTCTACACAGTTGTTAAGTGACATTGGTTACATCTTTATTAGATTCTTCACAATACATGAATAGTCTCATCATTTTCTTTCTGGTTGTTCCATTTTCATTAATCTAGTTTCCTTGCCCCTTTACATTGTGAACTTTGTTTTAAAGTCATTATTGACTGTTTGGTCTCATAGAGGTGATTTTTTGAAGGAGCACAGTACTTACGGGTGATATTCATTATTTTGTGAGCTGATTTGTTGTTTAGCTACACAGTGACTTCAGGCATTACTTGCAGTTCAGGGTTTGAAGAGTCTCTCCAGGCAGTAGTCTTGGGCATCATCTAGTCTCAACCAGTCCAGTAAGTCTGTTTAGTTTTCTTTCTTCTGTTTTTAGGAATCTGTGATTGCACATTTTTGTTGTGTTCTGTTAGGGTCCATCTCTTGTGGCCCTTCTATGTGTGTTCTTAAGCCCGCCTGTGCTAGCTCCTCTTGAACCTAGTTCCCTGTATTTGTCTGGTCCATTCTCTGTATGTATTTTTATTGTGGTGGATAGGTGTGTAACCAAGTATTTGCCCTTTCCACATCTTCACCATAAGCTCAGTGACATTAATTACGTTCATCATGTTCAACCACCAACCTTTTTTTTTTTCCCTGTTTATTTCTTAGTGGGAGAAATATTTCTTAAGAGTCTTTTTTTGCATCACTTTTCTTTTGTAAGAACTAAAGCATCACTGAGGAATCTGTGGTCCTCTTTGTTGCCATGCCCAGTCCCATTCCCAGCCTCCTTCTGTGGCCAGAGGGAACCACCATTGAGAGGCTGGCACACCATCCTTCGTGAACACACTTTTATGCTCGTTCTACACACGTATGGTATAAAACTGGAAAGTCATCTTGTGTTTTTTTAAAATGCACACCACTGTAAATGGTTTTATAGTGTCAGTATCATTCTGAAACTCGCTTTTTTAAAATGTTTGAGTTCTATGTTATGAATTTCAATGGCTGTATAACAATAGTGTGAACATACTGCAGTTTACTCAGCCACTGGGCTGTTTTTTGCTTTTAAAATTTTTCTGAACAGTATAGCAGTGAAGAGGAGCCTTAAGTGCTCAGCTGTTAATCAAAAGGTTGGTGGTTCAAACCCACCGGCTGCTGTGTGAGAGAGCGATGTGGCTGTCTGCTTCCCTAAAGAGTATGGCTTGGAAAACTTATGGAGAAGTTCTACTCTGTCCGATAGGATTGCTATGAGTTGGAATGTTTTTTCTTCCCATTTCATTTATAGCAGTGAACACTCTGCTGCCTCTCTCTGTGAGGATGTGTGGGAGAAGTTTTCTAGAAATCAACTCTCTTATATCCCTATTTTCTTTATTCTAGCTTATTCCAGGAGCTGAAACCAAACTACTTTATGAATGTACTTTTATTACTTTTTTTTTTTTAAAGAGGTAAGTAAAACATGTTCCTGAAGATTTATTTAGAATCTCTAAGACTTGGGAATTCCTTTTTTGGCTTGCATCAGTTTCTCGAGGTGTCTGTCATTGGCTTTTACTTCTCTTTTGCTACAAGGTGGGTGTAGTCTTCATAAGTCTCCTGAGCACAGCCTACTTCTAACCTACTGTTGCCTGACATTTGAGCTGTAAGCATTGTGATGGCGATTACACAATAACAAGGACCACGATGGTGATAATGATAGCAACATTATCAAGGACCCACCATATACCAAGTTGCTGTGCTAAGTACTTTACACATTTCATTTATTTATTTCAAAATTTTTTTTATTGTGATTTGGGTGCAAGTTACAAAGCAGTTCATTAACTCACAACACTTCATGTTCACAGCATTTGGTTTCACAGCCCCTATTGCAATCCCAGCAATAAAAAGCTCTCCTATCTCCTCCCTGTGACTCTCCCTTCCCGTGTCCTCCTCATCCACACACTCCTGTCTGTCTCCCTTCCCGTGTCCTCCTCATCCACACACTCCTGTCTGTCCAGCTTTCCCTTTATGCATATGCTGCCCTTCTGACGTCTCACGTGGTTGGTTGATATAGGGGTGCATCTCCCTGGGGTAGGTGTTCTGCTTGTATGTCTTTCTGCTGCTTGGCTGAGGGCTAATCCATGGAAGTGAGTCCAGTTCCAGGCTGGAAGGATAACCCGGGCCCATAGTCTTGGTGGTTCTCCCAGTCTCTGTCTGACCAGTAATTCTGATCATTTTTGGGTTTTTGAATTTTGTTCCACATTTTCCCTTCTACTCTCCAGGATCGCCAATTCTGATCCCTTTCCAAGTGGTTGGCACTGGCAGCTGGGCACCATCTAGTTTGTCTGGTCTCAGAGTCGTAAAGGCTGAGGGTCCCTGTGGTCCATCATATCCTTGGACTTTTGTTTCCAACTGACTTTGATTTTCTTCACTCTTTTTTGTTCCAGATGAGGGGAGATCAATAGTTGCATCTTAGATGGCTGCTCCGAGGTTTTAAGACTTCACTGGCTACTCACCAAAGTAGGATATAGAGCAAGATTGTTATGTACCATGTTGTGCCAGTTGAGCATGATGTCCTCCGAGACTATTTACTTATTTATTTCTAAGGTGATATTTTACTGTATTTCTGATGAAGGTTTGCACAGCAGTTTTAGGTTCTGATTCATAATTTTTACATGAGTGACGTGACATTGGTCACATTCTTCATATTGCATGAACATTTTCATTATTTCCGTTCTGGTTGTTTGTTTCCATTAACCTAGTTATCCTGCCTTCTTGAATTCTCATCTTTGTTTTAAAGTAATTGTTGACAGTCTGATCTCATATAGGTGAATTTTTTTTTTTTTTTTAAAGGAGCACAGTACTTATGGGTGGTATTCATTATTTTTTGAGTCAGTTTGAGATTTAGCCAAGGTAACCTCGGGTTAGTTTCAGTTCAAGGTTTGAAGACTATCCCAGGGCAATAGTCTTGGGGAGTCCTCCAGTTTCAACCAGTTCTGTAGGTCTGCTTTTTTTTTTTTAAATGAATTTGAGATTCTGTTCCACATTTTTCTCCAGTTCTGTATGGATCCATCTACTGTGGCCCTGATCTGAACGGTCAGTAGTGGAGGCTGGGTACCATCTAGTTCTTCTGGTCTCAGGATAGATGAGGCTTGTGGTTCACGTAGACTGTTTGTCCTGTAGACTAGTTTAGTCTTTGAGTCTTTGGTTTCCTTCCTTGTCTTTCACTCAAGTAGAGACCAATAGTTGTATCTACACCTAATGTTTTATTTAATTCCCACAAACTTATGAGCAAATACCATTATCACAGGTGAGAAAGATGGGGCACAGAGGTTAAGTACCTGTCCAAGTTCTCCAAGCTAGTAAGTGGCAGAGCTTGGATTCCAGAAACTGTGGTTTGTTTTGTTTTTTCTTTTCCCCAGCTTTTTATACTGAAATCTCAGACCTATAGAAAAATTAAAGATGAATACAGTGAACACTCATATTCCCTTCGTTTACCAATTACTGCCTTTTCTCTTTAAAAGTGTGTTCTGTGTATGTATATATACCTCTTTTTTCTCCCCTTTTGAAAATAAGTTGGAGATACTACATTCATTTTTATAAATTGAGTAACACTTTATTTTGATATATATATTTTCAACTTTTTATTGTTATTTGAGTGAAAATTTATAAAGCAAATTGGTTTTCCGTGCAACAATTCATACACACGTTGTGGCATTCTTTGCAGTCCTCACGATATGACAGCACTCTTTCCACTTCCTGCCTGTGGTTACCATTTAACTTCATCCTTCTTTCCTGTCCCTTCCTGCCTTCTGAGCTTTATCCTCGGACAGATGCAGCCCTTTGGATCTCATGTGGTTGATTCTTCTAAGGAGTGTGACCTCACTGGGGTTACTGTTCACCTTATAGGCTGGTCTGTCATTTGGCTGAAAGTTGAGCCACGGGGGTGAGTTCAGTTTCAGGCTTAATGGGTGTCTTAAGGGCCATACTCTCAGGAGTTCTGACAGTCTTCATCAGACCAGTAAGCCTGGTCTTTTTCATGACTTCTTGTTTTGTTTTACAGTTTCCTTCCCACTCTTTCTGGGACCTCCTATTATGATGCCTTTCAGAGCAGTCAACTGTGATTGCAGGGCATCATCTAGTTCTTCTGGTCTCAGGGTCGTGGAGGCTGTGGTTCGTGTGGTCCGTTTGTCTCTTGGATTAATTGCTTCCTTGCATCTTTGATTTGTATCACTCTCCTTCGTTCTGGGTGGGGAGAGACCAGTAGTTGCTCCTTGGATGACCACTCACAACTACATTTATTTTTACCTCTAAAAACTTCACATGTCTCCTGTGAATAGGACATTTCCCCCCAGTCATGTACAAGAGGGTTGGTTTTCCCACAGTTTCTCCAGCTGAGCATGTTGTCAAGCTTTTCATTTCACCAGTCCGGTAGGTGAGAAATGGTAGCTCGGTGAGTTTTGATTTGCATTTTTCTTGTGATTAAAGCTGAATATTATTCATAAGTTTAGAGGCTATTTTTACATCTTTTTTTGTGAATTGTCTTAGAGCCAGTGCTTTTAACAACTGTGCATTACTACCTCTGTGGTTTACTTATATGTTCTCTAATGTGATATATATGGTAGACTATGGGGGGTGTGTGTGTGTGTGTGCACGCGTGTATGACAAATTGATTGGTCTGGTTCTTTGTGGGCGACTTTACCTTTTTCTCCCATGCCTATGCTGAAAAATTGGTGATTATGTTGCCTAATATATTCAGTTAGTCAAGGAAGATCTTTTGTTGTTTCGAGGGGAAAAAAAAGTACAGGGAAAAAAATATGTCACCGTCAGCCTTGTTGTATTTATTGCTTTCTTTGGGTTCTAAATATAAAAGCGAACACAATTTTCCTTGATCACCATCCTCAGTTCCATCGCCCCTCAGTTCCATCGTTTTGACCACACAAACCAAACGTGCTGCCATCTGCGACCCCACAGGACAGAGTGGAACTGCCCCATAGGGTTTCTAAGGCTGTAAATCTACAGAAGCAGACTGCTTCATCTTTCTCCCGTGGAGCTGCTGGTGGGTTCGAACTCCTGACCTTTCAGTTAGCAGCTGAGCACTTTAACTAGTGTGCCACAGAGCAGCTATTACCTTGAGTTTGGTGTATTGCTCTAGTTCGTTAAATAAACTAACATGTATATATCATGAATATTAGTGTTGTTTGGGCGTGTTCTTCAAATTATGGGACAGTTTCTTTTGTCTTTATTTCCCATTCCCCCTGTTCTCTGTGTGTGTGTGTGTAATATTTTCCAGAGGTCAAACTAAAAAAAAATAAGTGTGGTCACTGTTTTGGGGTTGCCAGGCCCCTTGGGATTCACAAAGGTGGTAATAGATCATGAGACTTCCTTAAGTCAGTTAGAAAACCAACTGAAAATCCTAACGCGTCTCTGGAAATGAAAATGTCAAGTTTAAAGATTTTATGGGTAATATTTGAGCTCAGTGGAAGAACACAGCAGCCATCTCATGCTAGAAACTGTCAATTACATAGGTCTTAACATACTTTTCAAGATCTAATTATGTCCAGTTCCTTAAGGACACAGTGAGATGAGTTTTGACAAATGTGTCTATGTGGGTATGTGTGTAACCAACGCCCTCATGAAAGCACAGAACATTTCCATCTCTAGAAGGCTCCTGGCATACCTCCCCAGTCTCTCCTCCTCCCAGAAGCAGCCACTGTTTCCATTTCTCACCTCAGAAAGTAGTTTCCCTTATCCTAGAATTTCATTTAAAGGAAGCCATACAATGGAAACTCTTGCATCTGGCTTCTTTGTCTGACCCTGTGGTTTTTGAGTTTCATCCATGTTGTCATATATACAATAGCAACCTCTCTGTTTGTATCAGTGGTTGGTTGGTGGGTCTTTTTTTTCTTTTTAAATACTGAGCACTATTGTGTGAGTGTGCCGCTGTCTGTCAGTTCTGGCTGATGGACGTTTGCTTTTTCCATTGTCCTGCTCTTGTGACCAAAGTGACAGTGGACATTCACGCACAAGTCTTCTCGTGTCCATGCATTTCTTTTGGGCAAAATACTTAGGAGTGGATTTGCTGGATCAAAAGGTTAGATGTATGTTTTACCTTTAGTTATATGGTTCCTTGATTAATAAACAACTGGAAGAATTATTATTTAACCTACACAGTTGGGGAGAGCCACACTGTCAAAATGGGTGATGCACAGGAAAAGGAAGTAATAAACTGATGAACTTGGTTGAATGTGTGTCATTTTCACCCGTGGCCTTTGTTTCGAGGAAGGTATCAAGTCTTGAGTTCATTTCAACATTTCGGTGGAATGTGATACTGAATACGAGCTCCATCTTTATTGGAATGCTCTTTATTTGTCCCCCCCCCCGGACTATTTTAGAAGAAATGGAGCTGTCACCCACATTAAGATTCAGAACACTGGTGATTACTATGACCTGTATGGAGGAGAGAAGTTTGCCACTTTGGCTGAGCTGGTCCAGTATTACATGGAGCATCATGGGCAGCTAAAAGAGAAGAACGGAGACGTGATTGAGCTCAAATACCCTCTGAACTGCGCGGACCCTACCTCAGAAAGGTCAGTGACGTCAGTAGCCACGCAGTCGGAGGCTTCTGCACAGGTTTTCCCAGGCCGTGTGTTTTACTCATGTGCATTATAGGGGTGTGGTTTATACCTGTTCCTCCAACTATGTTTTTCAAAGCTTCGGCTGTAGTGAAAACAACAGAATCAATTCCTTCTCAGAGAGCCCTTGCAAAAGTTTCAGCCAGTGTTACTTACACTCATCCTATCAGGGTCTCAGACGATTCCTGTCTGTGCTCGGTCCTGGGGTAATTGTGAGATTTATTGAACTTCAGCTGATGATCTCTGAGGATCAGAGGAAAACGTGAGAACAGAGATGCCAGCATAACAGCTGTTCTCCGGTGGCTCTCGACCCGATGTTCAGCAGCTCCACCAACAGATGTCAGTTTAAGCTCAGGAGTGGGAAAGCAGAGAATTCCGGGAGTCGGCGCTTTCATCAGTTCTTTTGTGCTATGTTCACAAATGTGAAAGTGACCTTGCTCGGATGGACTGGTATTTCTGAGGACACGGCCCCCCCGGCCCTCTGTTGTCACTAAGCTGACAAAAGGTGGGGCTTGATATGTTTGTGTTGCTTTCCTTGCATGTCCAGTAGCCTCTCTGACTTAGTACAAATCCTGAGTCTATTAATTTGGTTGGTATATTTTGTATATTCAGGTTTTTTTTTTCACCTGACACATTTATATCAAACCGATCATGTGCTGACAGTTACTTTCACCGGCCACCCCTATAGTTTTAAGTAACTTTTACTCTGTTCAGTTGAGCGGTGAGGAACATAACTCAGTGTGTTCCTTTATTAATGAGCCTGGAGCATTATCTGCCATGACAGTACTTTGCTTTCTCCCCAAAATCCTGAGGGGGGAAAAGAACCACATTATTACCATATTTTTGCATATAACACACCCCCGTAAACAACATGCACAAGCATTTAACATGCATTGCACACACAGGAAACTAAGTCTGAGGAGTTGCATTGTTTGCAAACATAATACACAAAACCTATAAAATGTGTTATTTGTGTAAAAATTTGGTAATAAGACTGAGGATATTTTCTGTACCTGTCTCAGTCATCCTTAGATGGTCCAAAATATTGATTTCTGGTCCCCATTCTGTGTTAGTGTATTGGTATCTCTTGTTGTGGGGCCTGAGAATTCACATTTTAGTAAAATCCCTCACCTTTACTCCAAGTCTTATTTGCATTACAGAGTGAGGTGATCCCAGGAAACAATCTGAAGCTGTTGAAAGCAAATTTGGAGGGTATTCAAGTGTCGGTTGGAAATAGGGAACCATTTAAGGTGTTAGGATTAATTTTTAATGACAGTCTTTTTCTCAACGTAGTGTTCACAGGCCAATGCAAGGGCCAACATTCAAAAGAATTCTCTGCATCTACTGTACTTTTGACCAGAATGTTTTTAAATGCCTGTGGTTGAATAGTTGGTCCTTTTTGGGTTGGGTGATCTGAAAAATAATAAGATGCTGTTTTTAAAACATGGGAGATTTTAAAAGAAAATGAAAATGATTGAGGACATTTGTCTCCAGATGACAGTGGGCTCAGTTAAGAAGTTTCATTGTCATTATTAACATCTCTGTCATTTGCCTGCCTGTTTGGAAAGTAAATTCTGTCCTAGTCAGGACCACTCCATCCCTTGAAAGAGGGATGTGTCTCTTTAATTGTGTTGAGGACTCCCAACTCTCAGTGGTAATTTTGTGAGCGAATGTTGGGAACCCGTGGCAGAGCAACAGTTCCTTTTCATTTTTAAACATTTAGGTGGTTTCACGGACACCTCTCTGGGAAAGAAGCAGAGAAATTGTTAACGGAGAAAGGAAAACATGGGAGCTTTCTCGTGCGTGAGAGCCAGAGCCACCCCGGAGATTTTGTTCTGTCTGTCCGCACTGGCGATGACAAAGCGGAGAGCAATGACGGCAAGTCCAAGGTGACCCACGTCATGATTCGCTGCCAGGTAAGGCCCCAGATGCACCTTGGACCTGGCCAGTGTCATCTCTGGGTGACTGCTCTGCTGGCAAAAGACGAACAGCAGTGTGTGCAGAGTCATGTAATCCTTTGCTCGTTTAGTCAAGGGCGTGCACTGCTAGTCCATGTTCATTGTGATTGTTCCCTCATTTGCAAACTGCGTTCCGTTACTTGTTTCTAGTCTGTCTCGGGCACATGAAGTCATGTCTCAGGGCATCACTTTCTGCCCAGCAGAGTAGCCTGGCTCGGTGTAGCTGGAGTCGGCTGGAAGTCGGTTTCTACAGCGGTGGCCTCAGCTCCTTCCCTGGGTCGTCACAGGCGCCTGTAACCGTATTTGCCTTCCTCCCGCTGAGTCACTACGTCAAGGCTGGGAGAGTTGAATGCAGTAGTTCTTGCTTGTCATGTGGCTGGATCAACACGTCGTTCCTTTCTTTTGACAGAGTCTCCTAAATAAAAGCTTCCTGTTCACTTAGTGCTTCAGATTTTTTTACTTACACTTTTTTTTTTCACTTTTATTGTGATGGGAGTGAAAGTTTATGAAAACATTTTTTAGTGATAGTTTTATTGAGATAGAATTCACACACCACACAATTCATCCTCTTGAAGTGTACAGTTCAGTGCTTTTTGATTTATTCACAAAGTTGTGCAGCTATCAGTGTGCTCTAATTCCAGAACATTCCCACTGCTCCCAAAAGAAAGCTTATTTACACTAGCATCTCTCCTCACGAACCCTCCTTCAGCCCCTAGCAACGGGAATCTATTTTCTGACTCTGGGTCTGCCTGTTCTGGACACTTGCTATACCTGAAATGATGCATGGCCTTTTGTGTCTGGTTGCTTTCACTTACCATGAAAGTGATCCCTCTCTGTCTCAGTGCTTTACTGTTGTACATTCTTAGTTAATTTCCAGAGTTCTGAAAAGTTGATTTTCGGTGGTTTTTGCCAGTGTTGTTGTTGCTATTCTGGAGGAGTGGATTTTCCGAGGTCCTTACTCCGTCCTTCCGGAAGTGCTTCCCCTTTAGGGTTTTATTTTTAAATAAAGCAGAGCACCCAGATTCTTTCACAGGACTTTGCATCTTAGTTTAAGTGTTTTTCTATTGTTGTCCTTAAGTAGCCTATTCTGATCTTGTCTGAAAAAATTTCCTGGTCTCTGTTTATGATTTCCCTTTTAAACTTTCATGAGAAGATGAAATTAAAGATGTGGTTACTGGCCTTCAGTGCAGCCTCAGCAGCCTTACGGTCTGTTGTATTTCAGAAATAAACAGTTCTTGTTCTTTGATTCAGCAGCCTTATGTGTTGTAAAGCCTGAGTATGGTAAAGAATACCGCTTTTCATTTCTTTAACTATTGGGCTAACTCACGAGGGAGAAACTTTCGTGGACTAGTAAGTGTTGGCCTCGTACATTAAGCTTTTCACACGCGCACAGGGATACGTCCTTTTCCGTTGCATCAGTCTCTGCATTTCCATGGTCCTTGTTGCCGCCTCTCCCTAGTGCATATATAGCTGTTTGATCTTTCCGTTCTTAGGGCAAATGTCAGTCTCTGTACTTCAGTTGGGAAAAGCAATAATTTGACCTAAAGGTAACAGAACGTCATGGTTTTGTCTTGAAAGGAACTGAAATACGATGTGGGTGGAGGAGAGCGGTTTGATTCTTTGACAGATCTTGTGGAACATTACAAGAAGAACCCTATGGTGGAAACATTGGGCACCGTGCTACAACTCAAGCAGGTGAGCACATTGGCAAACAAGCTCCATGTTCTTGTAGAGTGTTTTAAATCCATGTGTTTACTACTACAGTCCTACAGAAGCAGGCAGAATGGTATTGTGAATCTTCACGTACCCACCACCCAGCTTCCGTCATCATCAATGCATCAAATTTTATTTCATTTATACTACCACCTGTTGTCCTCCTGTGTTATCTGGAAACCGATCCCAGATGTTATATCATCTCCATAGGCAACTGTCAAAGGCGTTAGACAATTCTTAAAGCAAGATTTCACCAAGCTCTAATTGCACATCCACCATTGGTTGCCTTGCAGTGAACCCATTTACTCGTTTCAGAATTACTATTATTTCAGAATTCATCCTTAGAACTTAGTGGCAAATGATACTATTGCCCGCAATGATTTTGTGGTATATTTGTGGGGGGAAAAAAAAAAAGGTTTGAATTTATATCGACAGAGTATAGAGTATGTGTGAAGATTGAAGAAAGATATGTTTCTTGCCCAAACGGAAAAAGAAAGTGAAACTGTTTAAAAACTTTCAACGTGAATGCTGTGATATATGCACCCCCTATCTTTGCCTTTATGGATTTTTTTTGTTTGCATTAACACTTTTTTTTTCCCACTGTTTTCTTTATTTTACACCAACTGCTGAACTTGATTAGCCCCTCAACACAACTCGCATCAACGCTGCTGAGATAGAAAGCCGGGTTCGAGAACTCAGCAAATTAGCTGAGACCACAGATAAAGTCAAACAAGGCTTTTGGGAAGAGTTTGAGGTAAGTTAATAAGAATTTTCAGAAGACTTACTAGATCCTGTTATTAATGGACGAAAAGTTGGAATTGGGTTGAAAGACTTGAATGTGGCCTCCTTTGTTAGTTTGGTCATTGATTGACATGAAGCAAGTTGCTGGAGGGTCTTCTTTTTTTCATTTTCTTTGTGATTTGGGTGAGTGTTTACAGAGCAAATTCACTTGCCATACAGCAGTTCACATACACTTTGTCTCATGATGTTGACTACAATTTCCCACAATGCAGCAGCTCCCTTCCCACTTCCTCCCGATAGTTACCTCTTCCCTGTGTCCATCTCTCCATGCATTCCTGCCCCCTGAGCTATCTCCCTGTGCATAAACAGCCCTTCTTTCTCCCATGATTGTTCTCTCCAAGGGGTGTATCTACCTCAGTTAAATGTTCAACTCATATGCCTGTCTTTTGTTTGGCTGGAAGCCACAGATGTGAGTTCAATTCTAGACGTCAAGGGCAGCTAGGGGCCATAGTCTCAGGGGTTCTACCAGGCTCTATCAGACCAGCAAACCTGGTCCCTCCCTTTTTTTCCAAATGATTTTGAGTTTTGTTCCACATTGTTCTCCCTCTCTATCCAGTATCTCCTACATAGATCCCCCTCCAAGTGGTTGACAGTGGTAGCCGGGCACCATCTGGTTCTTCTGGTTTCATAGGCTGCAGATTGCATGGTGTACCGGTCGCCGGGACTAATTGTTTCCATGAATCTTTGGTTTTCTTCATTCTTCTTTGCTCTGGATGAGGAGAGACCCATCATTGCATCTAGATGGCTGCTTGCAAGCTTTTAAGATCCCAGTTGCCACTCGCCAAAGTAGGAGGTAGAACAAAGTTTTGTGTGGTATGTTATGGCAATTGAGTTTGATGTCCCCTGTGACTATGGTCCTGAGCTGGAAGGGCTTCTTTAAAGCAGAAGGGCCTTGTGTTCCGGGAGAAGGGGATTGAAGTGAGTGTCATATGGATGAGCCGATAGCGCCATTTGGCTCTTTCGGTTTGAACCATCAGCACATAGCCCAGTGAAATGAAAGGATCCCACTCCTCTGAAAGGTTTCCCACATTTGCTGGGATCCTTAGACTGTACAGCCTTGTTGCAAGGAATAAGTAAAAGAGAAATACCTTGCCGTGGCTTTGATTTGGAAGTTCAGATTTACAACTTTGGGAAGTTCAGTGAGCAGATTTCTTTCCTGAAACCAACTTGGGTAGGAGAATGTCACGAATGGGAATCTGCCCTTTCTGTTGTACTCTGTGTGCCACTTACCAGTCGATATTGTCAACCTATTAGGACCTCTGGTAGCATAGTGCCTAAGGCACTTGACTGCTAACCAGAAGGCTGGTGGTTCAAACCCACCAGCCACTCCTCGGAAGGAAGGCTGGGCAATCTATTTCTATAGTGGTACCGCCTCGGAAACCCAAGGAGGAGTTGCTGTGAGTCAGCTCTGTCTCGACAGGACGTAACAACAACAGCTATCAACCTTGTCTCTCCCACTCCCTTCATTTCACAGAAAACTTCCTTCAAAGGAAGCGTTTGCCTTCATGTTCTCCCTGCTGTACAGCACAGTGGCCAGGATGTGGTCAATGCAGATTTACATGTAGCTAATGTTAAAGTACATTATTTTATGATTACTGCTGTGTTTATGGGAATGATTATTCCATACTTTCCTTGGAGTACAGATATTTGTGGAATGAACGGATGAGCAGGCAGATAGTCCTTTCTGTCACATGATGGGAGAACAATCTGTGAGACAGGTATTATCTCCATCTTACAGACGAGGAGTGTGAGGCTCAGCAGGGTTCTTGTCCAACCTCCCAACAGCAAATGTTGACTGGATTTCAGCTCCAGAGATGGGTGTGCATAGACCGTTTATAGCCCTTGCTCAGCATTGCCCAACAGCTTGAACTCAGGCTTACTCTTTCATTCAAAACATTATTTCTCAACCTGCATACTAGGCGTGGAGACACCTGAGGTGTTAGGGTGAGAGGGAAAATTGGAGAAGTGATGACTCCTCACTGCTCCTTTCATTCTACTCGGCACCTCGATAACAACAGGCGGCAGGTCAGGAATCATTCACTGCGTTGCCCTCATCCCGTCTGGTCTCCATAAAGCCTCAGGAGGGAGGATGGGTTAGGTGCGGAAGTTTTAGAAACTTGACATCAAAATTTGCATTAGAAAGTATTTTGTTTCAAACTTTTATTATGAAAAATTTAACACATATACAGAAACAGAGACTGTATTATTACAACAATGTACCTACCTATCACTGAACGTCAACAGTTGTGGGTAGATGGCCAATCTTTTCTAGGTGTACCCTACTACCCTACTACTTCGCCCAGCCCTGCCTTCCTTGAAGCAAATCCAGATATCAATTCTGTTTGAAACCATGTCGTTATCTCTAAAAGATAAGGGTTCTTTTTTTTTTTTTTAACAAAACAACAGCATCACTGAAATACCGTTGTTGTTGTTGTTATTGTTATTGTTGTTATGTGCCCTGGAGTCTGAGTCTGAGTGACTCATAGCGACCCCTCCTTGGGTTTCCCAGGCGATATCACTACGGAAGTAGATTGCCCAGTGTTCCTTCCGAGGAGTGGCTGTGGGGTTTGAACCGCCAGCCTTCTAGTTAGCAGTCAGGCGTCTTAGGCGCTACACTACCAGAGGTCCTTGAAATACCATTAACATACCTAAAATATGAACAGTAATTCTTTAATATTAACACATAGTGGCTGCTCACATTTTCCTGATACATGTGCGTGTGCACACACACATGTGCATTTTTGTGTTTGCAAGTAATGGGCCCATGTAAGTAAAGTGCTTACTTGTATAACAGCCAGCATAACATGCTTATGTAATGGTGGGGGGGGGTGGGGAACACATATAACACATGCTTTATTTGCATAAAAATATGGTTCTGTATTTGTAGTTTGTTTGACTTGGGAAGTGCTCCTTTTTTTCCCACTTGGTTATGGGAAATTTCAAAATATAAATGAACAAAATTAAATTCATGTAAAGAACCCCCCCATATACCATTAAAAATTTCCTTAGTTATCCCAGACATTGTTTTGTTCATAAATATTTCCATCTGTATTTATAAGAGATAAATGCTTTAGAAACTAACTAAAATACTATCAGTGCATCTAGAACAAATTAATCAAACATCCATTTGTTGTTCAGAGCTAGTTTTCTGAAGTTTTTAAAAATTTGTTTTTTGCACCGCATAACGTGGATGAACTTGGAGGACATTATGCTGAGCGAAATAAGTCAGTCACAAAAGGACAAATATTGTATTAGTCC